GATATTGACAGGTATTGCATTAAGCAGCAGGTGCTTTGTTTTTAAGTAAATGGTCTCTTTGTTATCCAGGAGAAGTTGAGAAATCCTGGAAATGTCTGCTAAGAAGGCAGCAGTGTTCCCCACGCGGGGCTGTGTGACAGAGGGGGCTGCAGCCCCCTGCCCACCCTGCGCCTCCTGGGGAGGGGTCCCTGCCGGGCTGGGCCTGGCTGCTGCAGCTCTGCAGCTCTGCAGCTCTGCAGTCAGCTGGGCTGGGGGCGGGCTGCACGCGGGGACAGACACACAGACTGCCTGACCCACGGACAGGACCGTGCATGGCGTGTCCCTGCGCTCCCGGAGCACTGTGCCATCCCCCAGCCATGCCATGCGTGCTGCCCGCCGTCCCGTCCCTGCCGTGCCCTGCGTGCCCTGCCGTGCCCTGCCATGCCATCCCTGCTATGCCCTGCTGTGCCCGCAGCCCCGCGGTGCCCTGCTGTGCCCTGCTGTGCCATCCCTACTGTGCCCTGCCATGCCATCCCTGCCGTGCCCTGCCATGCCCTGCCGTGCCATCCCTGCTGTGCCCTGCCATGCCCTGCTGTGCCCACAGCCCCGCGGTGCCCTGCTGTGCCCTGCCATGCCATCCCTGCCGTGCCCTGCCGTGCCCTGCTGTGCCATTCCTGCCGTGCCCTGCTGTGCCCTGCCGTGCCATCCCTGCCATGCCCTGCCGTGCCCTGCCGTGCCATCCCTGCTGTGCCCTGCTGTGCCCTGCCGTGCCATCCCTGCCGTGCCCTGCCGTGCCCTGCCGTGCCCGCAGCCCCACGGTGCCCTGCCCTGCCGTGCCCTGCCATGCCATCCCTGCCATGCCATCCCTGCCATGCCATCCCTGCCGTGCCCTGCCGTGCCCCGCGGTGCCGCGGCACCTCGCCGTGAGCCCCGGGCCACGGCCGGGCTCTGCCCGGCACCCTGCGCTCCTGCTGCTGCGGGGAGCAGCGCTGCCCAGAGCGTGTGAAACAGCAACTGTGACACTGCAGCACGCTCCGTTCCTGCAGGGCCGCAGTCGCTCTGGGGCACACGTAATCAGCAATGGTCAGATGCACGCAATGTGTCACATCGTGAAATTCTTACAGATCTAGTGATTTTTAGGGGTTTTAAGGCTTGTAATTTTAAAAGGCTCTTCCGCTAGCAGCAGAAGCTGTGTCTTGGTATGGTAAATATTGTTCAGAGATATTCTGAAACAGTCCTTGCCACGAAGATCTTACAGTGGAATATAATTAGAGTTCTCTATTCTGTAATATGCTACATTAATTAGCAGTCAAAATCCAATTTTTAAAGCCCAGCTTTGAAATGTATTTGCCCTTCAGGCCCATGTATCATTGTGCCATAGCTTGAAGTGTCCTGTGTTACCGGGCTGATCATAACATAAAATAGACAAAACACATCTCGTCATGCATTTTCCAATTAGAAGGAAGGGGGACACGACCACTTGCCTTCTTCTTTTGGGAAATGCCTTTGTCTTTATTTCCAGGGTCGGATGTCCGCGCCCTGCAGCTCCTGTGCTGCTGAGGAGGGAGATGGCAGAGCCCTGGCAGGGCAGGCAGGGCTCCTGTGAGGCTGTTTTGTCCCAGCCCTGCTGAGTGCAACCAGTGTGACTGTGTGGGTCACAGCCCGTGCCCAGCAGCGCCCCGCTCAGCTGCCGGGGTCCCTGCTGGAGCAGCACGGCAGAGCAGGAAATGTTGTGAACCGTTTATTGTTTCTTCTGAGTCCGTGTTTTGTTCCCTGGAAGCAGATTGTTCCCCCGGGCAATTTCAGGTTTTGACTGCTGGTCCTCCTTCTCCCTCCTCCCCTCCTCTCCCTGTCTGGGATGAAAGAGGGGAGGTTTGAATGCACATTGAACAGTGGTCCTAAATCTGGCTTCACCCCGAGCGCTGCTCGGAAATTTACATTTTCATGCTGGTGGAAGGATACATGTGAATCTCAATGATCTTTCAAAATTTTTCTTTAAATAAAAGCAAAGCTGTTGCTTGCCATTCATCCCATTGTGCAGGGGCAGAGGACAGCCAAAATGTGGTACTCGATAAAGGGAGAACCTTGTGCAGGGCTTCCATTTTCATATAAATGGTGTGTATTTTACATCCTCGTCTTCCCTGATCTGCAGTTTGACAACACCATTTTCTCAAAGTATAAATACAAGAAGTTTATACAGTAAAGTCTGCTGTATTTTTTTTTAGTACAGAAATATATATAATCGTAGTACAGGAATTCATCTTAATCTTAGTAATAAACTTAGTGTGGAAATTAATATAATCTTAAAAAGGAGATAGCACTTAACAAATTAAGATGAGTAAGATTAAAAGCACAAATACATCAAAGATGTTCTTGGTTTTATTTAACCCACAGAAGGCTTTAAGTAAGTTTCATACGTGCAACTTCTCCCCAGGAAGAGGGGGAAATCTTGAAAGAGAGTGTCTGAATAAGCCTGTGAACTGCTGTATTCCAAAGGGTAGAAATAAAACTGACGCAGGTGCAGAAAGCAAGCAATGGCAGCGCTTGCTTGGGGCAGAAACCCACCTTGTGTGAGCCTGCCCCTGCTGCAGGAAGCAGGAGTGCTCGGCTGCGGCGCTGGAGGAGCCAGCACCTGCTGAGCCAGGGATGGAGCGGAGCTGCCAGCCGGGATGGAGCCTGCCAGAGCTGCTCTGCCCCAGCCGTGCCGCCTGGATTTGGGGTGCCAGCTGCCCCCTGCCCCGGGGAGGCTGCTCCCGCCTGCCTGCGGGACAGAAGGGGTGACAAAAACGGGCTGCAGGCTGCAGAGAGCTTCAGGGGACCCCAGCATGCCAAGGTGCTGCTGGGCGAGCCAAGGGAGCAGCCAGGACAGTGCAGGAGTGGCCGGGAGCCCCCAGGGGCACTGGGATTGCCCGTGGGACGCGTTAATTCACCCAGATGAGCAAAAATCAGAAGGAACGCCAAGGATCTGTCAATTTGAGAAGACTTTTGTGATTTATTTCCTGATCTAGAGCCAGACAAAACACTGTGGTCAGCGACAAATATTGTTGCAGATTTTTATATGTGTCTCTACAGCAGGATTTCTACTTGGGTGCAGAAGCAAAAATCTCCCTAGGTGTTTCAGTCTGAAGAACTTATTGTGTGTGAAAACAAAGCCTTATGCAATCTATTGTGAATTAGAATTAACTTTTATATCACCAAGCAGATTTAGTAAAGGGAGATTTTCTTATAATATTTCATTCAGCTTTAAAGCTCTTATATTTATTTTCTGAGTGGAGCAATTTTAGCTTCTTGTATTAGGAGTATTTGAATCATGGTGTCATGGTTTTCCCCTGTGAGGCTGGGGATTTTGACAGTGAAGAAGAGAAACTTGGTTGGTTTGCCCTCAGGAAGGACATGCCTGGTGATTAACAGGAGTTAAATCGCTGGTAATTTTGCTCTGTGACCATTCTGCATGTGCATTTCTGTGCAACACGGCACTGGCGGTGCTGCCTGCCAAGGCAGAGCTTTGAATTACAAATACCTTTTTCTTTATGAATTAATTTCCTTAACAGGCATTTAAGCCGTAAATAATGCACTGAAATATGACAGCGTTTCTTTACTTTTACCAAGCAGGCCTGAAAAGGCTGGATTTTCTCTGGAGGGTACCCGCAGCTCGCCGCTGCCCTGGGGCACTGGCGTGTCTCTGTGCCAGCCTGCTGCCCTGATCCCAGCCATGCTGGGTGACAGTGCAGCTGCCTGCTGCAGCCCTGCCAGTGGCAGCCACTCTGTGTGCCACGACTCAGCTTCACACACACTCACTTCACTTTGTAACTGGCCGCTTCGAGCATTATCAGTGTCTCAGTGACAGTCGCTGGCACGAGCAGGTGTTGGAAATAAAAATACTTGAGGGTGTAGTTGAGGTGAGAACCTGTGCTGCGAGCCCTGACTGGTGAAGGAAGAGCAGCAGTAACCGGGTGCTGTGCTCCAAAGCACCTGAGGGACATTACTACTGCACACGCCTCAGCCAAAGCTACTGACTTTTTCCGTAAATGAAGAGGAAGACATAAAATTACAGATGATGCACTTTTAATTTGTAGTCATGGAAATGAATAGTACCATCCAAAGTGGAGACATTCTTGCCGTCTGTAAATCGTGATGATATTGTGATTTTTGCTAGTCACATGGATGCCTCGGATTGAGATGCAGGCTCAGCATGGGACAGTGTGCATTTAGAAGTGTGCAAACACGCAGGATCAGTGTGCACTCAGGCTGTAGTGCCTGCTGTGAAGCACAGAGAGGTGAGCACTGCTGAGGTGGGTCCTCCTGCGCCGTGTGGGAGCACAGCTCTGTGTGCTCAGCCACGTGCACATGCAGGATTTTTAACAGCCCTGGCTGCCCCCTGCTCCTTTAGCTCTCTGCCCTTCCATTTCCTTCCTGGCTTGTTTCTTTTCCCTCCTGCCAGCCCAGAGGCTGCGTGTGAGAAGGTTACAGTGTGACAGTCGGTAATTCAGTGTGTCCTCCTGATTTGTTGCACATTACCAAAGCTGTTTGGAAATAGATGTGCTCAGATGCAGTCTGGGTGTCTGAGGTGGTGCTCAGTGGGGTTGGCATGCAGCAGTCAGGATGCAGGGCTGCAGACACAGAGCTGGTGAATTGGCACAGAGGAGAAGTGCATGCTCTGCAGAAGCTCCTTGATCCGGGGCTGGAGCTGGGCATCCCCAGGACTTGCAGCTCCAAGGGCTGCAGTCAGGACCTTTGGATGCCTCTGGATGCCCACCTGAATTTACACCCCAGGGGTCAGGACAAGAGCGTGGTGTCAGAAAAACTTCTCCCAGTAGTTGCAGCTGCGCTGATGCTCAGATGAGGCAGATTTGGTGCCCAGTGGGTCAGGAGCTTTCCTTTACCAAAGATGGAACTAGGTTCTCTGCTTTAGCACATCAAAACCTGTTAGCATTTTCAATAACTGCAGGAACCATGTTGAATATATTATATATAAATATTAATATAAAATAAATATAATTAATTTTAATTTTGTTTTTCAGGAGAAATTGATGTGAACTGGTCCATCTCTCATAAAGACTTAGAGGTAAATCCAACCAAATTTTTCTATAATTCTTTATTTTGTTGCTTATTAACAAGTAGAATAAAGTAAATGGGCTTGAAAACCCCTCTGTGGTGTTTTTGTGGGACAATTAGCAGTGTTCTGTCACAGGAGGAAGGAGTTCTTGAGTTGGGGCTGGCATAGAGGCAGGCAGGGATGGGGTGTCAGGAGTGTTCTGCAGACTGTGCAAGTGCACATCAGCTCTCCCTGCCTGGTCCCCTTGGAGCCCCGGAGCAGTTTCGGGGCAGCCTGGTGCCCTGCCCAGCAGCAGTGGGAGCCAGCAGGGTGTGCAGCCTGCCTGGGCTGGGGCAGGGCAGCCAGAGCTCCCAGGCGAGCTGCTGCAGCATCCAGGAGGAGTGAGCTTCAGCTGCTCTGTCCAGTTCCTTCCCTTTTCCTTTCCAGTGCCCAGTGCAGCCGATACAATCGAGTGACATTAACAAATTCTTTCCCTGAGGAGAAATGGTATTTTTATACCTCTCCTGTTCAGTCATCCAAAATTTCATGTATTTTTTTTTTAAACTTGTGATGTTTACTAGGAACTGACAGTTGTAGATCGGGTTTTCAATTCTGGCTGTCTACACAGAAAGTATGTGTGAGGTCACTGGGAGAGAGACAGTTGTTTCCAGCTTCTCTTTTTTTTTTCTTTTTTTTTTTTTTTCCCCTTTTAAAGTCTTTCTTTACAATTGCAAATTGCAGACTTCATCCAGACTTGTATAGCATTGTACTTTGTCCAAGCAGTTTGCCTTAATGCGTACAAAGGAATATGTAACTTGCATTTGCAATTGATATTCATTATATTTGTGTTCTGGAGAAAATTCCAGTTTGTTGTGACATAGCACAGTAAATCTTGGCTAATTGAGGAAAAGCTTCACAACTGCAGTCTTAAATAGCAAAGAAGAATGTCCTGAGGCAGAAGCTGGAATGAGAACTTTCCTCCCAGACAATGCAAGTTTCTCTGCAACAGAATTACCCATTCCAAACCTGGATGTGTAAATTGTACATGGGGAGCATTAGATTTCTGCTGGATCACTGCCAGCGTTGACCTTTATAATTCCCAGTTCCCAAAGCACAGAATCTCAAGTGGTAAATGCATTTTTCTCTGTGTTTCACCAGGCACAGATCTCCAACTACGCGGGCGTGAGGCACAGCAGCATGCGGTACTACAGAGCTGACAAAAGTGTGACTTGTAGGAACTGCCACAGAACGGGACATTTGTCCAAGAACTGTCCCACTCCAAAGGTAAATGCAATGCTTAAATCACTTGAACTTTCAGCTGTTTTCTTAATATTCCTTTGTGCTTGCTGTTGGAAGCATTGTTTCAGTGGTTTATCCTTTCTTTGAAGCAGTGTTCTGAGTTACAGGATTGCGTGCACAAAGTCAGTTTACTGTGTGAAAGTATCCCTCTGTTTGGTGATGTCATTGTTTTTATTGTTTTTATAAAATAAAAATATGCAGAATTATATAATATAGAATAATATTGAATGGTTTGTGTTGGAAGAGATCTTAAAGATGAACTTGTTCCACCCCATGACATGGGCAGGAAAAACTTCCACTAAACCATGTGGTTGTAAACTGAGAAAAAAAAATTCAAGTGCCATACAGAAACGCCTTTTTTTTTTATATGGTAAAACAGTTGGCAAGTGTAAAATATTTTTCAATTGCACTTTCAACAAGGACAATCTATTGAATCAGAAATACAGCCTTAGTAAATAAGTGAAAGCAGAAAGTATAATGAGCCATGATATGAACAGTGTTAAAAACCATGGACAAAACTGGAGCTAACTGTAAGAAGCTCAGATAGATGCCACATATTCCAAAAGTTTGTCCTGTGGTTAGAGGTTTGAAAGTCAGTCAGTACACTGTTGACAGCTGGGAGCCATTGCGTGGCAGCCTGGATTTAGCAACCCCCACAACAGAGTCTGTGAAACCCTCAGACCCTGGGGCTGTTACCCACGAGGACACTCAGAATGACCACGTCCCTCGGGGAAGCGCTCTCACTCGGTGGGAACACTGGCTGGACAGAGACACAGGTTTGTGCTCAGAGCAGCTGGCTGCGTGTTCCATGGCCAGCCCACGTGCTGAACCGTGTGAGGCTGTGCCGCAGAGCCAGATGGAGCAAGTGCCCACCCTGCTCCCCCAGCACAGCCCCTCTGGGGGCTGCAGGGCCGGAAGGAGCTCTTGGAACACCCTCACCTAACGTGATTCTGTTTGTGCTTCTCCACAGAAAGCTCCCCCGTGCTGTCTGTGTGCAGGAAGAGACCACCTGCAGCACAGCTGCCCAGCACGTTTCTGCCTGAACTGCTGCCTGCCCGGGCACTATTTCAGGGAATGCCTGGAGAGAGCCTATTGGAACAAGCACTGCAACCGCTGCGACATGAAGGGCCACTATGCTGATGTGAGTATGGCCCTTGGCACCGCCTGCTTTGGTTTGTGTCTGTCAAAAACTGAATTTACAGTGGCTACAATCTCTTCGTGTTACTTTGATTTGACGTAGCGCCTATTTAGATAAGCACTTGAAAATGTTGTGTTTAGTCAGTGCTTTACACTGTCAGAATTTTCCTGGAGAGCTTTTGGTTCAAAGAAAACAAACCAAAGCATTGTCAACACCTGGTCTTTAGTTTGGTTCAGTTTGGCAGTGGTGGACACAAACGTCCTTTTTCCTGGGGAATGAAAGGGGTAGGGAGGTGGAAATCAGGAGATGCAGTGCTGCGAGTGTACCAGAAGGAAGAGCAGCTCTGGTGCTTCAGGACTTCCAGATCTCTGGTTGTTTCACTATGATCAGATATTGATCAGTGAAAATACTATTAGAGTGAAGTAGTTTGAAGGCCTTGGCTTTGACAAGATCTACTAAAGTAAGACATAGAAGAAAATTAAAGGGAGAACAAACGTAGTTGTCTCTTTCTCTCATCTTGTATTACATTATTACGGTCTTATATGACCCCAAAATTCAGTCCTATATGTAGCAGTCAAGCTTTTATGATATTTTTTTCTCTTGAATTAAACACACATAAGGATAAAAGGCAAATCGTGATAATTTTGGCATATATACACACTTCAGTTTCTAACTGTAGATATGGCCTATATGTTTGGTTTTCAAATACACCTGTGGGATTCTGTAAGCACTGGATTTTTTTGAAACTCAGAAATATTTGAATCTCTTTCTAAATGTCTCCTTCCTGCCTTTATTTTTTCTGTTTGGTAAAAGACCATGTCACGGTGGTACATGAGATGTGCAAAGGTCAGCCGGCATATTTGGGAGTTGCTATTTCTTATGATATTAGAATGTGTTCCAGATGTACTTTGCTTGCAGCTAATGTGCCCACAATACCTTTAAAGAATGTGAATTGTACTTTTCTGCACCCTCATTGTGGTAGGCAGTGAGACAGACTTGCAATCTGTAATGAAGCATCTTTTCTTTGCCATCTCTTCTCTTTTCCACATTTTATGACACCAGTTTCATAAACTGATTTTTTCTCTAAAGAATCATGAGTGCCCTATCACACCAGCATTGAAATCCTCCCTGAGCCGTGCAGGTTATCAGGAGCAGCACAGCATGTATTTTTTCTGCTCATTTGGGTCCACCTTTACTCAGAAAGGTTTTTCTTTGAAACTTTGGGCAGTTCTTGTGCGCTCCTGCATGGGAGGTTGAAGCTGCCTGTGTCATTCACCTGGGTGAATATTGAGGCATCAGAGCAGGAGCTCACCTGCCCAGTCCTCAGAGAGAGAGATGGCACGGCAGAGCAGAGGCAGAGGAATCACAGCCAACAGTGAATCTCTCCTGAGATCAGAGCAGAAAGCCTGTGAAGCCAACAGGTGGTCAGGACACGAAAGGAGCACTTGGACAGGACGAGGCTGCTGCTCATGGCCTCAAGGTGTTTTTTGCATCTGGGATGTTCATAGTGGAAGAATCCAGGAATGTTCCCATGCTGAAACCTTGCTTTGTGGAGGGGAGCACCAGAGAAGTTGTCAAATGGAAGGGAATATGGGTGTTCCTACAAATCTGTGAGCGCTAGCCCATTACCAAAACTGGGTAACGACTGCCCAAAAGCTGCAGAGGAGCATGAGAGTGAAACAGCCCAGCCAGCCATGGCAGCAGACACCTCGTGCTTGGTGCATGAGTGTAACTGAGTTTTTAGTGCAAGGACAGCGTGTAGGGGATGTCCCAGGGAGAGCTGGGGGTCCCAGACTGCCAGCTGCACATGTGCACCAAGCCAGGGGGCAGGAGCCATGGTGGTGGCATGTTGGGATGGGTGTATAAACATAACATAAATGGGGTGATTCAAGGCTGCTTTTGTAAAGGAAATCCCACTTCTCAGGGATCTCTGGAGTTCTTCAAAGGAGCAGGTTGACAAGCATGTGTGTAAACATGATCCAGTTGACATTGTCTACAAATTCCAAAAGGCATTTTACAAAGTTCCTGACCAAAAGCTTTCAAGCAAACTAAACAGGCATGGAGTAAGAGGATAAAGGTGGGATATGCTAGTGTGACATGGAAAAGGGTCAACAATGGGGCAACAAGAGTGGCTGAGAAGACTGCATTACTTACAGAGTCAGTGCTGTGAGCCAGCTGTGCAGACCTGCCCAAGAACTGTAAGAATCAGAGGGAGAACACAATAAAATGGCCATTGACATTGAGTGGCAATAAATGTAAAGTAAAACAATCCCATCTTGGCATATTGGAATAACAGGTTCTGCATATTGCTGTTGATTCCACAAAAAATCAGTTCAGTCTTCACAAGCTGTAAAAAAGAGCCCCAAACTGGTGAAACATTAGGAATCATCAGGAAAGCAGGAGCACCTGGGCAAAGCTTTGGACCCTGTCTTCTGTATCCCTTAGCACAGCCACAGCTCCTCAGCCTGCAATGGAGGTGGCAGAGGGAAGGGTCTGTGCAGAGCTTCGGAATCATCTGTCACAGGAGACAGTGGTCAGGGATCATCATTCCTTCCAGTACTCCTGACGGAGGCAGTAGAAGCCAGGTCGGGAAGAGACAGTCCAAGGTGACTCTGTGTGGTCAGCAGCAGTTCTGGAGGCTCCTTTCTGAGGGATGCAGGTCTGCCCTGCTTCCAGAGGAAATGGGAGCAGTTCATGGGAGAGAAATCACAGACTCTACACCCGGTTAGAAGGGACTTCATGGATCATCTGATCATCATGGCCAGTGTTTCTTGGCAAAAGCGTGGTCTACACAAGACAGCCCAGCCAAATCCTGTGTCCAGTTCTGGGGAGTCCACCACTTCCCTCAAGAGATGATTGTTCTCATCATGAAGGGTTTTCTCCTGTGTCCACCTGAGATCTCCCCAGGAGTAACTTGGAGCTATCACCCCTTGTCTTTCCCATGTGACTCCTTGTGAAAAAGGAAAATCCCCATCTTCTTGTTATCAAACATATGTTGTGAAATGCTTTGGATGCTCAAAGGAAGTTGTAATTTGTCCTTCTCAGCAAGTTTACTCCCTTTTACTGTAAATCAGAGGGTGCAGAACAGGCTCTTGTGCACAGTCTGTCAGGCTGACTTTCCACTTTGGTCCAAAAGTGAGTGTGAGGCAGTTCAAGGTGCCTCACCTAGTTTGCTTAGGAAACATGCCCTGTTACTTAAACCATTTTAAGGTCATACATTTATGGTCTGGTAGATCAGTGTCTTCTCCTGAGACAGCGCTGAGAACATACAGAGCCCTCTTAGCTGGAGGTGTTCTGGGAGCAGCCTGGCCTCGCATGGTTTCCTGGGGAGGGTCATCCGAGGAGCGGCTTTTGTCTGACTCAGTGGCAGGTCGGTGGGTGTCATGAGCCTCGTGGTTGGTGTGCAGCCTCACCTGCCAGCAGCAGGGCTGGGAGAAGGGCTCTGTGAATCTGCAGGAAGCAGGCAGAGGGGGCAATGTCTCCATGTGCACCTGGGGAACCAGCGTGCGGGTGCTCGGCGAGCTGGGTGGGCTCTCCAGGAGCTGGCAGACAGCAGTGCCCAGCTGCTTGGTGCCCTATAGCCACGCTGTGTCTGATGGCCCCAGCCGAATGCCCAAATACTGCATCGTCAGCACTCCTTCCCATGAGCCAGCCGGGTGCTTCGACTGCCATCTTCTCTGCATATTCTGAGAACTTTCTGGGCGTGCCAACCGCCGCTGGCCTCTTCTCTCCAGGAAGGTTCCTTCAGCCTTTGTTGTTTCTGGCACTCTGCGCCGGGCTGGGATCATTCCACGGGGGCAGCTGGCATCCGTGTGGCCGTTTTCCCTGGGCTGAGAGCACGGTGTTTGCTCTGTCTCCTGAGCTCCCCAGTGTCCTTCCCACCCTTCCGGCCTCTGGCTGTCCACGTGCACCCGAGGGTGAGCATACGGCCGTGCCACCAACGCCGGGGTGACACCAGCAGTCGCCCAGCTCTGCCCGCCCGGCACCGGCGGCTGTCTGCACTGGCAGCGTGGGGAGAGGTCTCGACATCTGCTTGTGCAGGAGTGGCTTTGAAGGGAAGCATTGTGTGTTTTCCGCGGCAGTTCCCATGCGGAGGTGATGAAAAGTGTGTGTTTTGGCAAATCTTTTGTTTTATTGTGGTGGCTTGCAGCGGGGCAGCTCCAAGCAGCCGCTGCCTCTTTGACAAAGCACCAGAGGATTCTGTTAAAAAGTTGTGTTTAGTAATTGTAGTCGTCGTGTCAGACCATAACTGACTCGGAGCTGAAGGATTTTTGCGAGATGAGTAGCTATGCCAGCAGGGACCCAAGTCTCCTGGGCCAGCCGCGCTCTCATTAAGATTTGCCGCTAGCCGTGGCGGTGTTCGGCAAGTATGTGACGTGCATGCTGTTATTGTATGCTTGGCTTGTCAGCCTGCAGCTTTCTGACACTCACTTATGTCACTCTTTATTCAGAGACGAAGAAGCTTTTGATAATTTGACAAGACAAGCTCTTAAACGATCTAGGTCATGGCCTTCACTGTCTGTGATTGTGAACATATTTCCTGAAAGCCCTGTCACTCATCACAGCTACATTTTCTCCCGGGGAGCCGCGGGCCCGTCCTGGTCTCCTGTCAGCGCGTGCATTTTGGTTATTCATACGCCAAATACAGTAGCGGGTTTTTGCTCGCCTTTGGCCGGCGCTCGCATGTTAGCGGGGCTAATCCGCCGCCCGCGCCCGCGCCCCGCCGCGCCGACGTCGAGGGCTCGGCGCGAGGCAGACGACCGGCCGAGGGGAGCGGAAAGGAGAAAAGGCCGCTTAGTGCCGGTTTTGTGTTTGCTCATTGTTGTGGAAATATGAGAACTGGTGGCAAGGGCCTCGTCTATTGAGCTCTCGAGTCCCGGTCTGCTGTCAGGGGCTGTTTGAGATTGAGTGTTTTATTTTCTTTGATGTTCACATCGGAGAATAGGGAAGTGGGAATTAAACAACAGATGCATTAAGCCGTTGTTCTGGTAAAACAATAATTAGCACCTGATAAAATTCAATATGGGTCAAAATGTGCAGCACCCAGTCTCGATTCTCCCATTATGGCGCCGTGCAGTGGGTCAGCCTCAGGCAAGAGTGGCCGCCCTTGCACGGGGCCGTGGCAACGGTGGCACGGCTCTGGGGACAGCGGTGGCACGGCTCTGGGGACAGCGGTGGCACGGCTCTGGGGACAGCGATGACTCCGGTGACAGAGGTGGCTCTGGGGACAGCAGTGGCTCAGCTCTGGGGACAGTGGTGGCTCTGGGGACAGCGATGGCACAACTCTGGGGACAGCAATGGCTCCGGTGACAGAGGTGGCTCTGGGGACAGCAATGGCACAACTCTGGGGACAGCGATGACTCAGCTCTGGGGACAGCAGTGGCTCAGCTCTGGGGACAGCGATGGCACAACTCTGGGGACAGCGGTGGCTCTGGGGACAGCGATGGCTCTGGGGACAGCAGTGGCTCTGGGGACAGTGGTGGCTCTGGGGACAGCAGTGGCTCCAGGGACAGTGGCCCAGGGTGTCACAGAGTGCAGGCCCGCTGTCCTCGCCGCACGCCGTGGCAGTGGCACTGCCCTCTGGAGTAGGCACCTTTTGTGCTGGTACATTTAAATGTGAGTACGGTCAGACCACTGGGGCAGGAAATAAATGCAATTTTATTTTAATGTAGTTCATCACGCTGCCATAGTAGCTGGGTACCACGGGGGCTTTTCTCTAAAGGAGGGCCATTCATGGTTAAGTTCTTTTAAATATAAATAAGGAAAATCATGGGTTTGGCAGCAGTTGTGCCTGGCTATGCTGTCGTCCATGGCACACCTCTTTGCCTCATTTGAGGAGACAGTATTTGGTAGTAATTGTTAATCATATTATTTGTCATTCCCCAATATGAGATGCAGACAACAGCCCTGCGTTGATGCAGAGGTTCCTGGTTAAAAGCATCATCTCTGAAGAGCTGTTGTTTAACAGTGACCCCTCCTCAGCTGTTGTACCCCACCTGAGCAGTTATGCTTAGCCTTCCCTCACCACCTTCATCCTTTCCTTCTTCTGGTGTTCCCTCAGCCTTCAAACGTCCCTGAGGACAAAACCCACTCTGGACAGCACCACGAAGGCTGGGGCTGTGCCTCTCCCAGCGTTTTGACAAGAGCTCTGCCAGCTGTGGTTCCCACTCAGAGCTACAGATTTTTGCTCAAAGTGATGTCTTTGTGTCCAGAGCAGAAAAAACACCTAAGCAAACAATTATTCAAAAATGCAGTAATTTTGATGATGATGATGATGATTAAATAGCAGTCGTGTGAGTAAAGGTCATAGCACAGAGTGGCATTTTGCCAGGATAGGACAACTCGCTGATTGCAATTGTTCAACCATATTAGCCCGGGCACACTGTGGTAATCGAAAAGTATCCAGAACTAATGTATAAATAACTGCCTGCTACCCCTGAGCTGGACCAGCACAGCTGTCCTGCACAGCTGAAACCTCCCCAGCTCTGAGGGAGATGCTAGGAGCTCTGGTACGATATTTTTACAGGCTACAGAGTGTTTATGTGTTGCTCTCTGAACCCTGGCTAAGTTAGGGAAGGAGGAAAATCCTTTTGTTTGTGCTCAAAGACAGCCTGAGTGTGTTCAAACTGTCAGATCCTCGGTGAGGAATGCGATGTCCCCCACACGTTTCCTTTATAGAAATATTAATATAAAACGCAAATATTTACACACAGCATTTGAGTAAGAGGGGAAATGTTGAACCATTACACAGAACAGATTGTAGATTTTTCTGCAGACAATTATGTTACTGGTGGAATGAATAATAAATAATATCATTTCCATCACATCTGGGAAAAACACACCGTATATGCCACAGGGTGACTGGCAAAAACTTGGATTTTATTTTGAGAGATACTGGTTGTGGTGTGGTTTTTTTTTTAATTAATATGCTCCATCAAAATAAAAGAAGGCAAGAATTTGGGCATGAGTGAAAAATTTATTCAAAATCTGAAGAAGTGTTAATAGTACTCATTTGCAAGAAGTCGTGTGGCTTCAATGTTGGAAATTGCAGCTGCAGCATATTTTGGAGAAGCCGTGGAATACTACATTTCTTTTTCTTTTCTTAAAATGAGGGTTGGCAAACCGAGTTGCTAATTGTTCAAATGAGTGCAGTGCTGTTCTTATAAGAAGGTAAATTTCTAAAGAGAAGTGAAAGCCCTCCGCTGCAGTAGCTGTGTACTAAAATGACAAAAAGCGCCACAATTTCCGTGTCTGTCTGTGGCTCAGGGGCCGTCAGAAATATTGCACATTTTGTAAAGGCATTAAGAACCCCTGAAAGAGTGATCTGAGCTTTAGTGACCACCGACATGTTCTGATTTTCTTTTAAAGATCCACATTTTCCTCTTCACCATCTCTCGTGTGTCCCTCAGGTCAATTGTGTCACTTCTGTGACTCAAAAACCTGCTCTGAATTTTCTTTTTTTCCAAGGGCTGCACTTAGGACTTGGTATAAAAGTCTGGCAATTAAAAAAAAATTAAAATTAAAAAAAAAAAAGCAAGCAAGTCATTGTAAAAATAGCAACATTAAAGCAATCTGTTATGGTTCTTGTTTACAACTCATCTGACATGAGGCTGCTGAGGATTATTACATGTAACAATTATATTTTGATTAGGAAAGAAATACGTACAAAAAAGATAAAATATTTCAGTTTGTACATGAAAGGAAGGCACCTTGTGATTTAATTTCTGGAGCGTTATGTAAATTTAAAAGGTCAGAAAATGTAGAATTTAAATCCGCCCCTGTTTGTTTTGCAGCATTAATGTTTCCTACAGTCACGAACACACTGCTCTCCCAAACTTCTGCCCCTCGGAGAAAAAGGGCAGAGAGAAAACTGTTACTGGCTTTCTGACAATGGCAGGGAGTGTGTTAAACCAGTGTAAAATTCAATTAAACTGTCTAGCCGGGTTTTTGAAGCTGAAATGCAGACCCTTTCAGTTAAGCTTCTTATTTTCCTGTGACCGACACCAGTGGATACTGTGTTATGCCAAAACCAACAGGCTGTAAAGCACCTTGTTTCATGCTCCTAGCTGATCAATATTTTTATTTTCCAGGCTTGCCCAGAAATATGGAGGCAGTATCACCTAACAGTAAGTAGAAACACCTTTTTTATTTTCTTCTACACCCAACCTATTTACTCCTCTGTGAACTGCTGACCATAAAATATAGATAAGCATCTTCTCTGAGAAGATAATAAACATCTCAAGAGTTTTTGAACTGAAGAGGGTGATGAAACACTGTCACTATTTTTTAAGCATCTTTAAAACTTCTGTGTTCATTTTAATACTGTAATAATTGAATTAGTGCTTTGCCTCTCTTCTCTCAGTGACCACATTTACACACAGAAAGAGTGTTAAATTTTAAGTTGGGATGCACAGCAGAAGCAGCAATCCCATCTCAGATATCCCAGATGCTGGTAATTAGTCACTCTGTGTGACAGAGCTTTCTTCTTAGATGAGTGAAATAAATCTCAGTTAGAGTGGAGACATGAATTTGAGGAAAAATACCTCATAAACTTTTGCTGATAATTTATAATTAGTCAGGATATAGCTGTGACTCCTTGTTTGGCCTGCCTTAGTTGGTCGTTAATCCCTGAAACAGGAAAATAAAACTTTGTGAAACTCTACCAGTTTATTACTTAAGAGTTTTCCTCATATGTGAAATAGATATAAAAATACAACAAAATTCATGCAAATCTGCTTCATATTGAAATCTCGTTCAGTATTTAACCATTAAAAACAAATTTTTGCATTGGTGTCACAGTTCTTAAATATATTAATTTCTAACATTGTCTAACCTAAAAACACCTTTAAAAAATCAGGGGTTTGTTGTTCCTCTGAACTTTTCAGTGCTCCCCAGATCGGCCTCACACGAATTTCGCTGTTACAGATAATTAAGCCCTGTTCTCTGCTCTCAGCAAAGTAGAAAAGTTTCTCCACTACTTTTCTTTTTGAATCTTTGGGTTTTTTCTCTGAAGCAGTAGATGGAATGTGCTTTATAATTTGTGCCTCCACCTCTTCATGGCGGTGGAATGCTCTTTTTTCTGCTTTTTTCTTCAAAATTCAATGAATAGAAGAAATCTGCACTTAAAACCTCTCATTTGTGTTTTGTGCATAATGATTCTAACACAAAGATCTGCCCTGGAAATCCTCCACCCTTCCTGAGAATTTACTTTTAAACAGATTTGGTGAAGATTTTTTGTTGGTTTGGTTGGTTTTGTTTTTTGGTTTTTTTTTTTTTTTTTTTTTTTTTAAGCATTATGAGCAAAAACATTCACTGCATTCACTGAGTATTTTTGTTTGGTTTGGTTTGGATTGTTTTTACATTGGATAAAGGAAAAAGGTAAATGCTGTCTTTCATTGTAATCCCTAAGGCTGCATGTGAAAACAATTTCTGAAATGTTTATAACATTTGGAACTTAATGATCAGAAATATTTGGTGCAGTAACATCCTGGGTTCTGTTTTTCACTGAGATAAAAGATGTAATTTAATTTTAGTCCTGCCTACCTGAATTGAAAATTCCTCAAAAAGTGAGTTGCCATCAACACTTATAAAATACTGATGTCTGTAAAAAAAGAAAAAAAGCAGGGGGTTGCTGAAACTTGACCAAGTGCTGTACCAGGGCAAAATTTGAGGTATCTTGAGGTAGGAAATTATTTCTGTGGATTTTTTAGAAAGCATTCAGGGTTTACACTTGATGTAAAGTAAAGCTAAGAAAAGGTGTCAGAACAAGTTCTTGTTAGAAAATGTAGTGGTTACAAATATGGGCATATTATTAAAAGTACCCCTTTGGAAATTTATGGTGCATTTTAGGGACATTTTGAAAGGTGGTCAAATAGACACACTCACAGATTAATTGGTATTGCATCAGGCCCTACCTTCTGATAAATAGATTTCTGCTCTGCAGTGAATTGCAGTTTATTGCAAATAAGACACATTTCTGGCATGTGGGAAATGTTTTACACGCCTTCTTTTCTTGCATAGGAAGAGTACCTTTGGCTCAAAGTTACATTAGCAGTTGGATAAGCCTGGAATTTAAAAATTTGTATGGTAAAAGACATTGGTTGATATTTGCAATAAGTAAATGAAAATAAACTGCATTATCTGAATTGTTTACAATTTATCTTTTATTATTCCCTTTAAATATTCTCTTTGGCACCCGAAGCAGAGCAGAAGTAAATAATGTTCTGGCAAGAAACAAAACTTCTGGACTAGAATTGGAATTGTATATAATGTTTAAATATATTATATTTTTATGTATATTTTTATAGATAGATGGATAGATAGATAGATAGATAGATAGAGCTGTTGGATTGTAACAAAAAGCCAAGGGTTTTTTCTCTCATATCAGCACACCAGTATTTCACCATAAAAATTTTGGTACAATTTTCGTGTGGTAGGAAAACGAAATATTTTGGCGCAAATAGGAGAGCAGCATTAAGAGAAATGCCACACGTTCAGAGCCAGAGTGTTGTTGTGGCTGCCCACGGAGGCTGCCCAGCCTTTCCTGCACTGCAGCCGGGACAGAGTGCCTGGAGCTGGGCAGGTTTTGGGGACTTGGCGGCGAGCACCCCGCCGGCAGGCCGCCCTGCGTGCAGAGCTCACTGTTGTGGTCATACACCGGATTGTGGCGCCGTGGGCAGAGGGCTCTCACGGAGTTTGTCCCGGTGTTTCGCCTTGTGTAAAGCATTCCTGGTTAATTTCTGTCAGTGCTGGGGGGGGGGTCGCACGGCCTTCCTCGCCCCTCTCTCCTGGTGAGGCTGCTGGTTATTTCACTCATTTTGGGTCACTTTCCTAGGAGATGGACTGCCATCTATTGACTCCTCGGAGCCCCTGCACGGCGTGCGGGCGCTCGAACAATGGCTCAATAACAAACCCTTCCTGCTCTTGGGGTGCATGCTGCTGGCCGTTGTTGACGTTGGCCACGGTGACGAATTTCAGCGCGTTGCAAATAATTTGTTGTATGGGCAGAAACATCTTATTCCAGCCAAAACAGACTGCCAGCGCAAGGAATCTTGTGAAGAAATGGCAAAAAGGATTGCAAGTGGAATATTTTAATTTGCCTTTTGATGGAAAAAAAGATTATCATAAGGCATGCAGTGAAGCTTAAATCTAAGGGCTGTGTGATAATCAAAGCTTTATAAGTGGCTGAAAGTACTTTCTTTGAACTTATTCTTTCAACTCTTTTAACTGAAATTATTCTGAAAAAAAAGCCAATCAAAGTCAGCAGAAAAATCCAACTCCCACTGTGGTTTAAAATAGTATTTAATAACCTCTTTAAGACAGTGATTTAAAACTTTTACAGATCATTTTTATCACAACTACACTCCGTATTTCTCCTGTATCAGAGAAAAGCAATTATATTTGTCAAAATATATTTCAAGTTTTATTCGTGTATTTTGTGAATTGGTTCATACCCACTAAGGTTTATCAAAGGGGTTATTGTCAATCAAATAACAGGACAAAGACTTCTTTGACAGAGTCAGGATAAGCAGTTTTGATCATAGCTTGCTGGAGTGTCAGTGATAATACATGTGATTTTGGTTTTGGGCACAAGGCATTTGGAGGCCTTGTTGAGCTCTTTGTTCTGGGTTATGAGGAAGCTTTGCTTACAACTGTGACTCCCTAAATGCCACAAACCCAGAGAAACACGCCCGTGTTCCACAAGACGTGCCGTCCCATCCCCTCTGCACCCTAAGGGTACAGGGGTGCACACTGCAGTGTTTTTTCACCCTCGGAGCACTGTCGCATTCCCTTTCTCCTGTCACTTCAGATTTCAGCTATAAATGTAGTGATATTTATTATGCATTTTAAGTGGAGGTCAGGTTATAGTCCTCTAACAAACCAAAAAGATAAACCCTTAATAACGCTAAAAAAATCGGTGAAAAAACTTGTGAGAAGGCACCCAATGATTTTCTTTTGTTTGTTTCAGTTTTGCAGTTTATCCTTTAAAAAACACAACATTTCCCTTCAAGTTTGACCTGCTGCCCGTGCACCTAGCCTGTGCAGCTGCTGTCCTCAGCGGGCCCGGGCTGCCGAGGGGCAGCGCCGGGGGTCACATTCCGCATGGACAGCCCGTGTCCCCTCTGCTGCTGCCGTGGGCAGCCCGGGGCTCTGTGGTGGCCGTCCGGGGAGCGCCGTGGGCCGCGCTGCCCGTGCTGACCAGTGCCATGGGCTGGGCTGGCCAGCGCCATGGGCCATGCTGCCCGTGCTGACCAGTGCCATGGGCCGGGCGGGCCTGGCTGCCCAGCGGCTGCGGCCTGCACTGACCAGCGGCTGTGGCCTGCGCTGACCAGCGCCGTGGGCCAGGCTGCCCGTGCTGACCAGTGGCTTCGGCCTGGGCTGACCAGAAGCTGCGGCCTGCACTGACCAGCAGCTGCGGCCTGCGCTGACCAGCGCCGTGGGCCAGGCTGCCCGTGCTGACCAGTGCCATGGGCCGGGCTGCCCGTGCTGCCCAGTGGCTTCGGCCTGGGCTGACCAGCAGCTGCGGCCTGCGCTGACCAGCGCCGTGGGCCGGGCTGCCTGTGCTGACCAGTGCCATGGGCTGGGCTGGCCAGCGCCGTGGGCTGGGCTGCCCGCGCTGACCAGCGGCTGCAGCCTGCGCTGACCAGCGCCATGGGCCGGGCTGCCTGTGCTGACCAGCGGCTTCGGCCTGCACTGCCCAGCGGCTGCGGCCTGCGCTGACCAGCGCCATGGGCCGGGCTGCCCGCGCTGACCAGCGGCTGCGGCCTCAGCCCCATCCCGCGGGCTGTGGGGCCTTTGTGGCCTGAGCGGCCTGCTGAAGCTGCTGCTAGTGGTAGTGTCCACTCAGCAGATGACATCGCTGGAGAAAAAGGAAATTTGTTTCTCTTCAGTGCCCAGAGAGCGTGTTTTGCTCTGGGTGTGAGGTTGCACTTGTGGCGTGAGGCCCCAGCGTGTGGATGGCAGTGCTGGTAGGGCAGGCAGCCGCTGCACGGTGCTCGGCGTGTTTCGGTGTCAGATGCAAACCTCACCACATCTTATTGTCAGACTGGCTTGTGCCATGCAGGAAGGGACAAAGACACCACAGTCAAACAGGAATGAACTGTGCAAGTGTTAGAATCTTCTCCAG